AAAGATTATAAAACTTTATTACTGGGCTATTTTCACAACATTTTAATTGTTTCTCATAAAATATACAACATCACAATCTTTACTGAAGTAGGATATTTTTGTATCCTATGTATGAAGATAACTTGTAGGGTATTTTAAGTGATGTTTTTCAGTCTCCTTCAGTTTTAAGTGGATCTTGTAGATGAAAACCAGTATTATTGAGTTTGACATACTCAAATTGCCCAAATGCCAGCTGTTTAAACAGCCAAACCACCAAGTCATCATTGATTCTTCAGTAAAGGTGATCGAAGACCTATTTGCATGTCACAGTCTTTATTACTTAGGAGACCTAAGGAGTACCTGCCAGGCTTGTCCATGCTAATGTTATGATTTTCTTTTTGTAGTTGAACCGTATTTTGTGTGGTGATGATCTGAGGCTCTGTAAATATCTGGTTACTCCTCAAAACACACTAGATTTGGCATTTCATGGAAGACTTGTGCTTGAACAATTATTACTGCAATGGTTGCCAGCTGATTATTTTCTGATTCTCTTCTTTGTTCTACATGGAGAAATAAAACCAATAAATAAGGGAGAAGGGAAAGCTCATGATTCTGGTGCTCCAATTCCCCAAGATTAGGCCAGAGGTAGATATTCTAAGCTGACTCTTTATGTCTTTTTGATTTGTGCCTGTTACTCTGTCAGCACTTTTTTACTTTCTGGCACAAGATATTCCAAGATAATCTTGTGTTTTCTCTGCCCCAGCCCTGGAATGAGTGATTTTTCTTAGAAACAGAGGTGGAGCCACTGAGGAATCACAGGCGAGCCCTCCCCAGCGTGTGCTCACTGGTCCCCAACAGAAGAACAGCTGCTGCATCCACTGAGGTACCAAGAAACTAGCAAAGGGCCTTCTGGCTGTCTGGGGACGGTCCTCATGTGGTCCCTGGCTCAGCCTCAAGGGTTCTGGGTTAGTCTCCCTGCAGCCTCTGGGCTGTGTCTCTAGATCGGGCTCTGCGGAAAGGGCCCCGGGAGACCCAGCAGCACAGGGTGTCTCGTCTGCCAAATGTCCCGCCCTTCCTCCCACTCTGACACTCAGGGATAGGGTAGATGGGGTTTCCAGGCTGTGCCAGGCCTCCTCACTGTCTCCTCTGAGATGAACCCTGAGGGCCTTGGGGGATGAGT